GCTGAAGGGAAAAGCAATTTGTAAGATTCTTTCTGAATGGAAGAAAACAGAAGTTCTGTGGAACAGCTTTCCGTGGTGAGCTTCTGTAAGCTTGTCATTACAGAGGTAGTCATGAGCATTTAGGTCACAGGCATAAGAGGGAAATAAGACCAAACATAGACTGCAATTCATCTTGCCTTGCTGTGTTTCAAGCCCATTACCTAGATGTGTTTTACCCAGGGAATAACCCACCTATTTGGTAAGTAGCCCCTGTATGGTGTGTGCAGTTTTTTGTGAAAATGTTTTCTTAGTGAACATCAAATCCCTGAAGATCAGAAAGTGTTCACTCAAGGAAAGAGTGTATTTTACTAGGTAGTTATTGGAGGTTGTTACTCCTTACTGAGCTGTAAGTATGAGATTTGGAACCATGTGGATATAGCTTTACTTGCAATTTTTATATCTGGTAGGAGAAATGTAGAAAAATAATAGTGTTTCTTGTGTTGGAGAAAATTCTCCTGAAAAAAAAATATTTCCACAGAATTTCAGCATAGAAGGAGTTGGAGTCGAGCAGGGGTGTCCTGTCCTGCTCATTGACCAGCCCTGGCTTTTACAATCTTTCCGCATCCTCTTCTGAGCTGTGGGTAGGTGAAGTTTGATATAGGAGTCCTATCCAAGGACACACGCTCTGCAGTCTCTTATTTTATATTTTGATGTGTAGCTTGGCTTTGTGGGCAAATATCACTACACAGTCATTCAAAGTGAATCACCAAATGATCTCTGCTCCATCCATTTTCCTGCAAATGTTAGAATTCCATTCTCTTTCAAGAACACTCTGTGGTGTAATATGCCACACTCTATCTGTTCATCCGCTGATGGGCATCCCGGCTGGTTGCTTATCTTGACTGACTATTATGTGCTATCTTAGGTTCCCTCAGGAATGTCCCCAGGAGTCCTATAACTGGGTCACATGGAAATTTCTTTTTAGTGTTTGATGAACCTCTTTACTGATAGTAGCCACAACCCATTTTCATTCCTGACAACAGTGTGTTAAGTGGAATAAATTGTACCCAGAAAGCAAATATAGCATGCTTGCTCACGTATGTAGAATCTAGTACACACACACACACACACACACACACACCACGTGTGTGTGTATTATATATGTATGTATATATATATAATACACACACATATATATGTATGTATGTCACAGGCATTACTTTAGAAGAAAGAATATTTGGAAAGAGGAAGGAGACCAGGAGGAAGGGGAAGGGTTTGGAGATGGGAGAGCAGAGCTCATGATGTGACATTCAAGGAGATGTGATCATGCGACTCATCAGTGGGTGTGCACGATGGATATATGCTAATACTAAAGCGGGAGCCCTGCGCCCCACACCACACAGGTGCCAACGTGGAAAGATGTTCGGCATGCAAAGGTGAAGAGCTACAGTCAGGCAGCGTCTGCCTGACAACCACGAACAGACGCAAAGCACCGTGCATGTTAATAGTTCCTAGCTCTGAATCGCGGCCTCTGATTTTATTTTATAATTTTGTGGAGACTAGGGTCTCATTCTGAAGCCCAGGCTGCCTTCAAACCAGCAGCAATCCTCCTGCATACGCCTTCCCAGGGCCGGGATTACAGGTGTGAGCCACCACATCCAGTTCAATAATAGTTGTTTTAAAAAAGGCTTATTTAAGTCAGGTGTGGTGGTACATGCTTTCAATTCCAGCACTTGGGAGTGAGAGGCACGTGGCTGTCTGTGAGATCCAGGCCAGCCTGGTCTACATAGCTAGTTCCAGGTCTGCTGGAGCTACAGGGAGACCCTATCTGAAAAAGCTAAACAAAAACAAGCAAAAGACTTATTTAAATTGTATATCTTCTTCTACAAGGAAGTATTCAAATTTTCAGGTACAAATATTGACCTAGTAACCAGTCTCTTTCAATGTGCTGAAAGTTCCTGCTAGGCAAAATTTCACCCCACCCCTGCCCCAAACTGGAATAGAAAAACCCTTCAACTTCGGTTAGCAACTGTTCCTTTGTTAACCATAGCTCTTAGAAAATAGTTCTCTATATCCAACAAACCTCGACTGCTGAAGTTTGTGCTCATTTCTCCTGAAGAAGCAGAACCCAACTCCACACCGTCATTTATGGCTGCCGCACTGTCAACGGCTCAGCACAAGCCACCTGTGTTTCTCTTCCTGGCGCTCAATGTCCCTCTGCTCTAGGTCACAGCCTTCCTTTATTTTGGGTGTATGGGTCTGTATCATTGTGCTGTCTATGGGGATATGCCAATTAATTAAACCACATAAAGGATTTGACACCAGGATACTAGAAAGAAAGCCTGACTGTCATGGATGTGTTCCCCAGCCTGATGTCTGTGCTTCTTACTTTCACACTCTGAGTGCACATTCTAGGGTTTCCTGAGGAAGGACAGGTGTGTGCTTTGAATCTCACAAAACTGGTGCAGAAAAGTCTTTCTGTGTGGAATCAAGCAGAAAGCACAGGCCTTCTGTGCTGCAGGCCTTCCCTGTCCTTGCAGGAGGCTTTGAATTCCTGAGTCCAGACAGACAAAAGAGCTGTTTGTTTTCATTAGCTCCAAAGAGAATCTTGGCTTCAAGCTGCAGATCTTTGCTGTAATCTTAAATCACAGGCTCTTTTACCATTAGCTGGGGGACCTGCAGCCAGTTACCAGATTGGTGACATCATCGGTAAGAGGGAATCACGGAGTATACATTTTAAGGAGTCATGGCACACTGTGTGTCCAGAGCAAAGGCTGTTTCTCTTGCCTCCCACCCACTTCTGGTTCTAGAGCCTTTGCTTCCTGCCCTGTGGGTCTAAACAGTATGCAACAGAGTCCTGGTTCCTGACCATGCTGCGGTGCCTCCAGTGCAGAAAGGAGGACTGAGGCCCTGTCGTCTGTCTCCGTCCTGCCAACATGTGGCATAAGGTCTCCTGAGTGTACATAAATGAACAGACAGGTCTCATTTGACAAGTGCCTTGTGGTGCTGTAAGAGCCCTTTCATTTACACATGGCGTGTGCCCCTCTGCCCTGCTTACACATGGCGTGTGTCCCTCTGCCCTGCTTACACTTGCCTGCACTGTCTTCAGTCCAGACACAGTCTGATTCCTGTCACTAGTTGCCTCCCTGACTTGGGCTCCTGTTTCCCCAGGCTATGACAGCTGGATGTAGTGCCTGGTGTGTGTGTGCACACCTGTCCAGTGCTCCAGCTCCTTAACACCACAGCCCCCTACTCCATCTCTGCCCGGTTTCTATGACTGTCACTCTTTCAATCTATGAGCACCAGCACTGGGTAACCACTGCCTTCCACTTCATCCTTTCCTCCGGTTCGGTCGCCCACTCCTCTAATGCTATACGTTCTTTCTTTAAATAAATTTTTTTGGTCTTTTTGAGACAGGGTCTCTCTGTAGCCACAGCTGCCCTGGAACTCACTATGTAGAACAGGTTAGCCTTGATCTCACAGAGATCCGCCTGCCCCTGCCTTCTGAGTGCTGGTATTAAAGGCGTGTGCCACCACACCCAGTTTATATTTTCTTTCTTTTCTGACTTGCAGGCATTACCCAGGATTCGATGGGAATCCATGCTGTTTTGCATATTTCCATTGTGATTGTTTAAGATTGTCTCTGACATATCGCTACGACTCTGGTGAATAGCTTTGGAGCTGAGGCTGTAACCTCTGCCTTATATGCTTTGAAGATTCCAGCTGCCCTGTGGGTCGGGGACCACTGACTATTCCAGGCTGTTTCTGGATTGATCCCTTCTCCCTTCCCAGTGGTAATATTGGTAGTTTGCTTTTGCGGGGTCTATAGGTCAAATTGTGTGCCAAATTTAGACAAAAGTCCAGTAGGAGTACAGGTCACAGAGGACCGAGGGCACAGCTGGAGAAGGCTTCTGAATTCTCTCTGGCTTTTGCTGTGAGGATTTAATGAGTTTCACACTCTCTAGAAGCTTCCTGACTACCTCTCAGATGTCCTGAGACCCAGTTTCCCATCATGATGGATGTTACTTTTGATGCTGCCCTATGGTGAATTTCTGTGGCCTGCCTACTTGGGTGAGGGCTGTAGTGACATAAAAATGCTGCTTTTTCTCTGTCTTTTCTGACTGATATTTGATTTTCTGGTTGGCTCTTGTTTAGACTCTGAAATGAGAAAGCAGGTCAGGTAGTTTTGTGCACCTGGTTTAAAAAGATTGTCCATGAGCCTCTCTCAAAGTGTTTCTGGTTTATTTAGGTATCTTAGCGGAGTCCTTGAGGGATGGCACTATCTGGGAAGGTCCTATTGTCCATGAGCCTCTTTCTGGTTTATTTAGGTATCTTAGCGGAGTCCTTGAGGGATGGCACTATCTGGGAAGGTGCTATTAGGGTTTCCTCCCCAACTGGCAAAATAGCTGTGCATTGATTTTTCAGGAGAGAGTGTCGTGTGCACTTGTATCCTTGCAGGTGAAGCAACATCCATTCTAACAGACAGGAGAGCATTCGAAAGAACTACCTCAGTCCTGTGAAAGTCTAGAGAGATTAATTTACCTGGGAAGAGCCTTTGTTTCATAGGCCGTCAGTTGGCATCACATCAAATAAAGAGACTGACTTGCTAAAGCCAGGGCCTCCCGGGATGCACAGGAAATATTTTGACTCTTGACCCACTGTCTTCTCATTCCTCCATTTTGTCTTTTATATGAATGTGATTGTGTGTGTGTGTGTGCGGACATGCGTGCGTGCACACTTCAGGGGGGTGTGCATGAGCACATGTGTCTGACATGTCTATCTTGAAAATTCAAATGAAGTATCTGTAACTCTAATTAGACTTCACAAACAAGAGAACTATACAATAGGGTCCTGCAGAAAATCATTTCTTTATGTAAATAGTGGCATCTTAATTTAATCTCACATTACGGATCTGCTGGACCTCCTCCATATAACAGGCTTATTTGCACAGCCTTGGAACTTGGCAGGGAGTCACTTCCAACATTTGCCCTAACAGTCAAGGGCTCTGTGTTCTCTCCTAGGGGTCATCTCTGCCGCAGATATTCTTGACCGAGAGACAACAGCATCGTACTGGCTAACTGTGTATGCGACAGACCGGGGCGTGGTTCCGCTCTATTCCACCATTGAGGTCTACGTCGAGGTGGACGATGTGAACGACAATGCCCCACTGACCTCGGAGCCCATCTATTATCCTGTTGTCATGGAAAATTCTCCTAAGGATGTGTCCGTCATTCAGATCCAAGCTGAAGATCCTGACTCCAGTTCAAACGAAAAACTGACCTACAGGATTACAAGTGGGAATCCTCAGAATTTTTTTGCCATCAATATCAAAACAGGTAAAGGCACGCTTACATGGCTTCTTTAAAACCGGTGGTCTGCTTTTCATGTGGCCCTTGCTGTGCTGGATTTTCTGTTTTACTGCCCAGAAAACAGTGTTTCTGGGATAGTTCCTGCCAAGGGATGCTCTTCTTTTCCACTTGGGGTGTTTTAATTTCATCTCATGATGAGGTCAAATGACCTAATAAAAATCGGAGGCTCCGCAGAAAGCCTCAGGTTCATCTCACTTGTAATAAAATGTGATCTGGGACCACTCGGATGGTCAGCTGCCTGCTTTGCTGGGAGCCAGTCAGCTGACCTGTGCTGCATTCTCTGTGTGAACTAGCTCTGAGGCTTCCACTCCTAGGTTCTTGCTGTAAATGATGACATGGAGAGTTAACTCTAAGCACTGAGGTTTTCTTTCCTATATAACCCATTAATGAAGTGTCCATGTCCAAAAGAAACTGCACTATCTGAATTTTTACATAAAATAGGTAAAATTTAATTTTATGACCTTTTGCTCAAAAGGTTTCTGAAGGTTACAATAAGAATTTAATTTGTTGGGTATATATCAGGAAGGCCAGGATCAGGAGGGACAGTGTAGAATCTGGCTGAGTTCCTCCTGACAAGAGCTCACACTAGAACAGTCCTCTGTGGAGCCCATCTCGGAGTCCTGGGGCTTCCTGTTGTGTGTCACATTTAGACCTGATCAGAGACATCAAATACTCAGGAAGAACATGATGGATGGAACTTTAAGTGAAATTTAGAATAATTTAATTCATGTTGACATGAACAGGTGGGTTGATGGTGGTCAGTGTTGGAGTTGGTCGGTGTGAACAGATTCTGCTTTTCTGGTGAACAGCTATTGGAGTTGGTGATTGTTTTCCCTGCCTTTATTTGTTAAAGGAGAAACGTGTAGCTGACCCTACATCCTTTATAAATATCATGCTCCCATTAACAAAAACTGAAGGAAATTCTGTAACCTTTTGTAAATCTGCTTCTGAATCCATCACTTTTTAAGCAGACCTGAGCAGTCTAACAGTGTTCAGTCAGGGTTTGACCTGTGCTTTGTTATAAAATGAAAGGCTGATGAGCCAGCAGTGTCTAACGGAGACCACTTCTACTGGAAGGAGAGCCCTTTATAAATATCATGCTCCCATTAACAAAAACTGAAGGAAATTCTGTAACTTTTTGTAAATCTGCTTCTGGATCCATCACTTTTTAAGCAGACCTGAGCAGTCTGACAGTGTTCAGTCAGGGTTTGACATGTGCTTCGTTATAAAATGCCAGCAGTGTCTAACGGAGACCACTTCTACTGGAAGGAGAGGACTTGGATACAGGAGCCAGGCCCAGCCTTTGAGGCCCACTAAGTAGGAAGGTCCCCATGTACCTGAGGGGTTAGCCCTGTTACTGTGCTGGGACGTTCACCTGCTTTACTCTGCTATACCAGAGCACTATGAAATGTGGAAAGAGATAGAGGAGGTAAAATACAGATTCAGCAGTGAGGCCAGGAGGCCAAGGAGAAGGACAGAGGTAGCCTCGGGGCACAGGTGGAGCATCCAGCATCTTGGCATTCCACAGCCCCTGGAATCTGAAGCATGGCATGCAGATTTTACCTCTTCCAACTCGATCCTGTTGCTGCTCACGTTGTTAGTGGGACAACTGCACCTCCCTTTTGCATTAAAGGATTCTGCAGAGGGCCCGATTCAACTGCTGTTGCCCTTTGCTTAGGGTTGGAGATAAAGAATAATAGTCTCCAGGGGTCTGTAGTGCTCACAGGCCTAATGGGCATGCAAGCCTAATGGGTACGCTCTGGGCCAGTGAAAGACCCTGTCTCAAAAAAAGATGGATGGTGTTCCTGAAAGATGATCCTCAAGGCCGTCCTCTGGTCTCCACATGCATGCAGACACACATGTACACACACATGTAAATATATACACTCATATACATATACACATGTGCACCCACACACAGGTGCACCCCCCATGTACACATGCACAAATATATGCACACATACATACATGTACTCAAAAGAATCTATCAGACAAGAATGCAGGTCTGCGAGGAACTTAGAGCAGATTTCATTGTGGAGACTGTCTTTTATAGATCTTTAAAGTGTGCACATGACTCTTCAGAAAGCTCCGTATTATCATGATGAGGCTTATGTTGTGTAATAAGAGCCTTTAATTATATCTGTAATTTCTCTGCCATTGCCAGAGATTTAAAAAAAAAATCATGCCAGAAATGGCATTTCTATCTAACTTGTCTAATTGCCTAAAAGACATGCATGGCATGCTTTGGTTTTCAGACACAGAAAAAGAAAATGGCACATTCTGTTTATTCAGTCATTAAGCATTCATTGTTGTACCTATTTGTTTTAACACAAGATCCAATAAATAAGATCATAAAGTAAGATATATTTTCATTTCTTGGGAGGGGGGACCTCAAGTAATCTGAAAGTAATAGCAGTTAGCAGTGACAAAGTCAACAGTTGATTGTGGTGTGATAGGATTCACACCACCTCAGGGTGGCAAGAGGGTTGTGCTTGCATGAGAATCCTGGGCTTTACATGCTTGCTCTGTACTTCATAATTGTGAATGTCTGTGACCCACCGCAGGGAATACACACTAAGTCAGATAGTCCTGGCACCCCCAGCATTGTGTGCCTTGAGCCCCCTGAATTTTACTTTTCATGTGTCAACTTGACACAACAAAGAACCACCTTGTACGAGTCTCAGTTGATGGATCGCCTACATTGGGTTGGCCTGTGGGCATGTCTGTGAGGATTTTCCTGAGTTAGTTGATGTGGGAAGATCCAGCCCACTGTGGGCAACACCACCCCTTAGGGGTCCCTAGTTGTGTGACAGTACAAAAATGAAGGTGAGCACGAGGCAGCCAGCAGGCATGCGTCCATTTCTCTCCTCTTCTGACCGTGGTTGTGACATGATCAGCTGTGTCAAGGTCCACTGCTGAGTCTTCTCCATAGTGATGGAACTGAAACCCTGAACTCAGAGCTAAAATAAACACTTTGTCCACTGTTGCATTTTGTTGGGGTGTGTTACCTCAGCAGCAGAAACAGACCCAGCACAACCAGAAGACTTGCTCCAGGAAGTTTAGGGTCCCACAAGGACTTGCTGCAGCACCTGACACAGCTGAACAGAGTGTTAATGAGGCTGCCACGTCCGCTTCGCTCTGCTGACAGGACACCCTATGATGTCCTTGCTCTGGAGTTTCTTATCTGGAAAGTGAGCATGTCATTGCTCACATCACATTTCTGGCTCACGGAGAGAGGGTGTCATGAGGTATTTGGAGGTAAACCGAGAAGCTCCGTGAGAATCCTGTACCATGTCTGTACTTTTATGCATGTATGTGTGCGTGTCCACCCATGTATGTGTGAGGAATGTACATGTGTACACATGGGCACATGGAGGCCAAGGGTCAACCTCAGGAATTGTTCCTCATGTAGTGTTTACCTGAGACAGTCTCACCAGCCTAGAGCTTGCCAATTAGACCCAGACATACGGCAGTCTTCGCCCCCCAGGACCAGTAGTACAAGCTCATGGCACACTAGACTTTTTACGTGGGTTCTGTGGCACCAACCCAGGTCCTCTCCTGCTTGCCCGGCAAGCGTTCCTACAGTCTCACAGTTATTCTTTCACTTTTGCTGTGCCCAGAAACAAACTCAGAAAGCGGTGAGACTCTCATTCATTGTGTTGCTCTAAGTATCATGTTGCCAACAGAACTGAACAATTCTATAGCAGTTACTTTAGTTTTTGGCATTTCTTACTGTCCTTAAAATAGTAACATAGCAACATCGATGTAACATTTTCCATCAGTGCATCAGAAGGTGCAGGTACTAATGCATTTAGCTAAGATTTGTGCTTTTGATTTTTTTCACCCAGAATGTGTTGATTCTAATAAACTGACCCTTTTTCTCTGTTCTCTGTGGTAGAGCTGAAATTTATAGTTTTATTTTGTCCTGGAAATGTGCTAAATAATAAATAAAGATGAAAACCATTAATATAAACATGGATTGTATTGATGCTTATGAGCTGCAGCCCCTAGCACAGAACAGACATCGCTGGACCAACAGTAGAGACAAGTTTCTCTCCTGAGCCAAAAGGACCATTTGAATTCTCCTCTTACCAAATCTAGGTCCCTGCAGAGTATTGGTCTTGGACTTCAGTAGTCATTGCAGTTTGGGAAGAAATACAAAAGCTGTTTTGCTGGGAGGGCTTTTCTGCCCGTCGTGGAGAACCTCTGTTAGTTCCAGGCAGAGCAGGCCAGGTCACCAAATGCAGGGCCAAGTGCTTTGGGTAACTGTGCTTCCTTCCAGGACCTGAAGAGAGATGTAGGCTGGCCACTCAAGTAGTAGTAGTAATTCCTCAGTGGAGAAATGGCTGTGTAAGCCAGCAGCAGACTGCATCAGGGTACCACTGTCTCCTGGGGAAGGATCCTTGGAAGGCAGCAGGCTTTGGATCACTGAGACCTTGTGTTTGGTTGGTTTTTTTAATTTATTTTAATTTATTATTTTTATTTTATGTGTACACATGTGTTGCTTGCCTGTAGATAAGGGCACCCATGTCGTGCAATGCCCACAGAGGTCAGAAAAGGCTGTCGGATCCCCTGGGACCGGAGTTACGGACAGTTAGCTGCCACATGGGTGCTGGGATTCAAACCCGGGTCTTCTGCAAAAATAACCAGCCTTCTTAACTGCTGAGCCATCCCTCCAGTCCCTTGTGTTTGGTTTTATGAAGTGCATTTGGTGCCACTGTTGACCTGTACCCAGTAATTGTGGGTAGTGCCATTGCAGAAGATGGTTTCTACACTCGGGATTTAGTCTCATGGGAAGATGGACCATCACAGGTGAGACAAGTCACCTGTATAAGAAAACATACATGAAATATTAACTGTTGAACTCTGTAGACTAGCAGCTGTGAATAGGATAAGATCAGATCAAGGCGATGGCTGGGGGAGCCTCGAAGCCATGGCGAGGGTCCTGAGGACTAGCTTGCAATGGA